CTCGTAAGGCGTCTTTTTTACGTTCCTCTCAGGACGTCTTTTTTACGTTCTTCTGGGACGTCTTTAAAACGTTCCACGCAGGACGTCTTTCTGTATTTCCAAATCCAACCAATTTAAGACGTCCGATCGGGACGTCTTAAAGACGTCCTAAAGCCGTCCGCGTGCCCACTGGGTATATATATATATATATATATATATATATATATATATATATATATATATATATATATATATATATATATATATATATATATATATATATATATATATATATATATATATTTTATGTTGATTTTAGGTGCCCCAAGAAGTCCTTACGGTCTTATCACAGAGCACCGCGGAAGAGCATTTAATAGGCAGTTCACGCCTCCTTCCCAACCGATGTCGCAAAAATTGCCCAGAGGTGGGGTTTGAACCACGGATCTTACGTTTCTGAGGCAAGTGTGCTACCACTGCGCCACGGCTGCTTTTATAAAAAGAAAAGACAAAAAAAAAAAGAACTGGGTGTTGAAGAAGCAATATTTTAGGAAGTTAATATAATACTAGCAGTAAGCAACCCGTAAAACGCGTTGTTAGTAAATAAAATTAAAAAAAAAAAACGCGTATAGAAAAGCCTAGAAACTACTTTAAAATAGAAAAGCCTAGAAAATGACGTAACTCGACTAATATTAAATTAGCGTATTCATATTATCAGATAATAATAATATAATTATCTACAATAATTCTTATATATATATATATATATATATATATATATATATATATATATATATATATATATATATATATATATATATATATATATATATATATATATATATATAATGTTTTCTAAAGTTTTTGAGTGCGTAAAAAGAAAAAAAAAGGTACTAGTGAGTAAAATTGTGCGGTGCAATGATATCTTTTTTGTATGGTTAAATCAAAGTGAAAAAAAAATAAATGAAACATTAGGCATTTCTTAAGAAATGCCTAATGTTTCATTTATTTTTTTAAATACCCTGAACTAATCAAAATATTGAAACTATTGAAATAATCTGCGCTTTTGATCTTAAATTCTTACATATAAGATCTTATATGTAAGAATTTAAGATCAAGAGCGCAGATTATTTCAATAGTTTCAATATTTTGATTAGTTCAGGGTATTTATTTTCTGGTGGTGGTGGTGATGGTGGAGGATGGGGGAGATGCATGCGTCCTATCCCCCCCGGGTCCGTCACTGCTTAGTTGCCAGTCCTGCTTTTACGAAGGAGAACGCAGTAGTTTTTTTTTTTTACAATTTGTTTTTATAGCTTCAGGAATGCGTTCTTTAACGTAAAAGTCGGATCTGGCAACCCTAAGCAGAGACGGATTCACGATTTTTTGATGATTGAGATAGCCAACGTCTAGACATGAAACCAACACAAAATATTAGTATGTTAATACTTACGTCAAATAATGAGACTGTGTAAAAAATTGCGATGGCTGGATACTTGGAACAAAAAAGCCCTTATCCTCCCCCCCCCCCCCCACCTCAAACGTGAATGGCAACAAGTTGATAAAAAAAATTTGTACTATTCTCAATTATACTTATATTCATCGATAAATTTAAAGATTCATAGTATTATCTCTCAGCGTTCAAAAATTATAACCATAAAAAATTTGTAACTCCCTCTAATTGAGGGGGGTTTAAATAAAATTTAGGGTTTAAATTTAAAAGGTTTAAGTTTAAAAGGTATAAATTGCATTTAATAATTTTAGCTCAACGCACGTTTTAATTATCCCCGTTTTCCATAGTGACTTCGGACTGTCCTTCCGTTTTTTTAATGATGCCCTGAAAACAACTTAATTGCTTAGTTTAAACCCCCCTCAATTATCCCCGTTTTCCATAGTGACTTCGGACTGTCCTTCCGTTTTTTTAATGATGCCCTGAAAACAACTTAACTACTTAGTTTAAACCCCCCTCAATTTAACATAAAAATGTTGCGAGGAGTAAGATATAAAAAAAAGCCATTAGTGCACGGAACGCTCTAGATAAATATGTTAAAAATTCAACCTTGTATGATTTTATTCAAGGATATCAATACAATTATAATTCTTATCTTGTTTAAGGTAGCAATTTAATGCTAATGTTTAATTCTTATTATTATTTGAAAATTACACCTATTAAATTAATAGGTGTAATTTTTAAATAATGTCATTATTAGTGAATTAATAATTAATTCACTAATAATGACACTATAGCCTTGATGAGTCTGCGCTTTATCTGTCCACTTATTTTTAATAAATTTTATCACACTTGATTTGAAAAATTTATTTCTTATATTGTCTCTTCAGGTATTGAATTATATAGCTTGATTTCATTACAGAAAATTGATTTCTGTCCACTTATGTTGTTTTGTACTTCCATATGAAAATTATTTACGTTTCTGGTGTTGTATTTATATAAATCTGTTCTTTCTGAAAATGTTCACATATATATGTGAATATTTTCAGAAAGAACAGACTGAGGTAGTAATACTACCTCATGAACAAAATTCAAACCTTAAATATGATTTTCTGCTTGATGGATTATCATCCAAATTTCTCCAAAATTTCTTTACTATGTGAATACCAATCACAGAAATAGAAAAAGCCTCATAGCTTTATTCAGCAGCTTCTGAAGCATTTTAATATCACCTTCATTTGTATTTAAAAAGATTGATGCACAATATTTATAATGAGGAGCCAGAATTCTATTATATTGTAATAGAATTCTGGCTCAGACTGAGCCAGAATTCTATACACTGTTATACACTGAGCCTCAGTTTATTAAATAAGTAATTTATAATTTATAAATTACTTTTTTGATACACTGGGTTAGTTTTCTACTTATTCTTGATAGGTAACCCAACTTTATAGATATTTTCTTAGCAGTATACTTGATAAGTTTAGTAAATTTTAAGTTTTTGTTAAATTGAATGCCTAAATACTTGACACATTCATAGGACTTAATTTTCTCGTTAACTATTGAATCACTTGGTGATATTCCACCTTCAAACTAGCTAAAGATCACAAAGTTTACGTTGGTATCATAACAAAGTAAACATAACAGTTATGTGCCTCCAAATGCCACACATTTAACACATTAGATGTAACTCTCTATAATCTAATGAAGTCTTGTTAGAAACATGTACTATGTGGATGAAACAAAGAAAAAATTCTAGATGTTTTTACACAGAATATTTTTCACACAGAATTTTTTTCAACAAAATGTTTATCTATTAAATTGAAAGATACTATGTGTAAGAATTTTGTTTTTGGATTTCGCTCATGTGGGCTATATCTACTACTACTTGTGCCATCTACTAATATTCATTTTCGTGTTACTCGTCATTCAATTAAGTCTCATCCTTTTTCTGTTACTGTTCCTAAGTGCTCCAAAAACTCTTATTCGTCTAGTTTTTTTCCTCGAACATCAGTACTTTGGAATTCGCTTCCTTCATCTTGCTTTCCTGATTCATACAGTTTGCAATCTTTTAAGTCAGCTGTCAATCGTTATCTTGCTCTACAATCTTCATCTTTTCTCTTCCAGTAACTTCCAACACTAATTAGTGGTTGCTTGCAGCCTTGTTGGAAGCGAAGATAATTAAAAAATATACATATATCTAATAGACCCATTTATAGTTAAAAAAAAAAATTGTTTAATCGGTATTATTCAAATTGTTTGGAAAATGCTTTGCCTTCTGATAGTATGCATTAAATGATAATTTATTTTGTACTTTTTTAAAAAAAAATTGTGTATTATTTATCAACCCTGATTGACAGTGTATATATATATATATATATATATATATATATATATATATATATATATATATATATATATATATATATATATATATATATATATATATATATATATATATATATGTAAAATAAGTGCTTCAAACGTATTGTGATGTTTAACTTTTCTATAATTTTTAATCATTCACCTCTTACTTTTGGATATAGAGATAGTTTTCTAAACTGACTAAGGCATACTTTTCTCATGCCCTTTATGTCTCTTGATCCAATTGTATCTCTAAGATAACAAAACATACCAACATGTTCTATGATTATCACTACTATTTCAATCTTTTTGTTGAAATTTTCTTTGTATTTACCAAAATTACAGTTTCCACAATTAAAACCAACAATATAAGGAACCCATGTCTACCATTATATATATCCATTAAAATCATTGTATTATAGAGGTTTTTCATTAGATAATTTAAAGTATTCACTTCTATTTCATGTTTATCCTAATTCTTTTTACCTCCATTACATCTTGCCATCAATAAACTCTCAATACTCAATAAAGAAAACTAAAGTCTTTTAGAATGCTACCAAGACAACATTTCAAAAGCAGAGCACTAAGTACTGAACCCATAAACACAAACCATGGCTTCAAAACTATTCCCTTTTTTTATCATGTTTTTCATACCTGAGACGTAATTTTCTAATTTCATTTTTTGTGCTCTTATTCTAAAAACATGCTCTTTAATTTTTCAGAAGAAGTAGAAAAGATGAAACATTATGAAAGAAAAAATTGCTGCTCTTACCAAAACCCTTAGTCAATGTAGCAGCACCTCCTCCTGGCAGAAAGCTATAAGATAGTTATGTATCTAATGAATCCCTCACATATCATGTTAGTATCACATCAGTGTGCATCAATGTTGTATCATATATATATATATATATATATATATATATATATATATATATATATATTATATATATATATATATATATATATATATATATATATATATATATATATATATATATATATATATATATATATATATATATATGTATGTATGTATGTATATATATATATATATATATATATATATATATATATATATATATATATATATATATATATATATATATGTATATATATATATATATATATATATATATATATATATATATATATTTATATATATTGTGCGTGTGTTAAATTATAACTAATATATAGTATTCATTGTGATTTACAGAATTAACTTATTTAAATTTATCAATGTGTGAAGTGGAAATAGAATGTGGTGTTGATTTAGGTTTTGCTGAAAAATTTGAAGATGAAAATTATGGTTCCAATAAAAATCCTTATATAAGTAAACTTGGTGGAAAGCCATTCTGGGTTTCTAGAAGTAATGTTCCAAGTGTGTCTACTTTAAAATGTGGTAACTGCTTTAACCAAATGACTTTTTTATGTCAACTTTATGTTCCTAGTGACAATGAAATAGGTAGCAATTTATCAAAAAGTGAACTTTTTATAAATAAAATATTCTATCTGTTTTGCTGTAATAAAGGAAGTTGTTATTCTAGTCAGTTGTGCGTAAAGGTATTAAGATTTGTATGCGAAAGCAATGGCTCTGATGAAAATTTCCAACCTGTGTATTTACATGACACTAAAGATATTAAAAGTTTGTGCAATCTTTGTGGTTGTTATGGTGATAAGAAATGTTCAAAATGTAGCCAGGTTTTTTACTGTTGTAAAGAACATCAATTAATTGATTGGAAATTTTCACATAAAAAAAATTGTTATCAAGAAGGGTATAACAAGCAGCCTGAGTCAAAAGACAGCTCAGGTAAATATGTATTTTTATTTCTAGACATTTTTCTAAGTTATCTAAAAGCAGTAAGTGTGTATTTGTGTGTATGTGTATATATAAATACATATATATATATATATATATATATATATATATATATATATATATATATATATATATATATATATATATATATATATATATATGTATGTGTGTGTATATATATATATATATATATATATATATATATATATATATATATATATATATATATATATATATATATATGTATGTGTGTATATATATATATATATATATATATATATATATATATATATATATATATATATATGTATGTGTGTATATATATATATATATATATATATATATATATATATATATATATATCTGGCAAAAAGATATATATCAGACATCTGGCAAAAAGAGGACATGTGCTCCTTTTTCATCCTCTGTCCGGCAGGCAAAGCTGAAAACATAAAATGTCTGGCTTTTTTAATATTATTAGTTTGTTTTTTTTCATGTTTGTTTTTTACATATAGTTCTGTTCTTTTTTACATATAGTTCTGTTCTGTTCTTACTGTTTTTTCTAAAGTTTTAGAAAGAATTTTATATAACGTTATTTATAATCAATCATCTTTCCTTAAATAATATACTATATATCAATCAATTCGGATTCAAAAAAATAACTTGACAAAACACGCAACACTCCAAATTAATCTTTTGAGAAGTCCCAATATATTTAGGGAGTTTTCATAGATTTATCCAAAGCATTTGGCGCTATTGATCATTGTATTGAATTAGAGGAAATGTTTTAAAAATATGTAAAAGTTATTTAAACAACCGTAAACAGTTTGTTTATAGTAATGAAAGTGGTACATCTAATTTATTAAATATAACCTGCGGGTTCCCCAGGACTCTATACTCGGACCACTTCTTTTCTTAATCTACATCAATCATCTCCCTAAAGCATCTAATTTAATGACTGTCATGTTTGCTGATGACAATCTTTTTTTATTGCATAAATGTATTCTAACATTATTTCAAACTATGAACATCGAATCAGAGAAAGTTTGTGAATGGTTCAAAATGAATAAATTGTCATTAAATGTGGAAAAAATAAAATGGTCACTCTTTCATCTGACTTCTAAAAAGAAACTACTGCCTCCTAACTTGCCTCCTAATACTAACTTTTTAGGTATCCATGTTGATGAAAACCTTGGAAATACTACACTAATTTTTTTGTACAACAAAATTGTTAAAAGTGTAGGAGTAATATATAAGGCTAGAAATACCTTAAATAAACAAAGTTTAACACAATTATATTTTCCTTTTATCCATTGTCATTTAAACTATGCAAATATTACTTGGTGTAATGCAAATAAAAGTAACTAAAACCTCTTTATCGTCAGCAGAACCATGTTGCTCGTCTTATCAATTTTAAAGATAGACTTACTCATGCTAGGCCTCTTTTATCTGAAATGAAAATTTTTAATATATTTCAGCTCAATGTTTTTAATACTCTTTGTTTTATGTAAAAATGTAAAATAAATTCCTCCCCAGTTTCTATAAAATTAAATACCTGTATAACTAAATTATATTTTACTTAGTTCTTGTTGTATAGTAAGCGACCGGGGTTGATATTTGACTGGGGCCGGGGCTAAGTTTAATAAAACATAGCCGGGGCTGGGGCCAGGTTTATGACCTGGGCTGCATTAATATTGATATTCCTTATAAATATATTATTGTTATTTAAAATTCATGATATATTTTATATAAAGGTATATATATCATCTCATCGTCATCACCATCATCATCATCATCATCATCATCATCATCATCATCATCATCATCATCATCATCATCATCATCATCATCATCATCATCATCATCAAGCATACAGTTGATGATGATGATTAAGATGATTATGATGATGATGATGACAATGATCATCATCATCATTTTATTCATTGGCAACATTATCATCTTCTCTGATACAAACTATAAATATAATTACTACTCTCATACTCTCTCTAAGATCAGCAACCTTGATATTCTAGAAAAGTCAGTGGCCATCATGTAATAAATTAATTATTTGAAATTTTTAAACAAAGTTAATAATTTGAAGAAATATTTAAAAATTGCTAACAATCAGGGTGTTTAAAATATTCTAAAATAAATTTCATAAGAGAAATTTATTGTAAAATTGTATTTACATTTAAAATGTAAGTAACTTTTTAATTGTAATTTTAATCATTAGAATTACATAGTTGAGCTATTCAAGTATTTAAAAGATAAGGAAGAAAGTGACACATTTTATCTAAACGCAACCAAGTCTGCTAAAATTGAGCTTCAAAAGTATTCAAAAATGAAGGGAATAGATATTTCAGAAGATCCATTATATTGGAGTCTCATGAAAAGCGAGTTGCAAATGCTAGCAAACTTGGCAAAAGTATATTTATGTTCACCCTCAAGCTCGACAACAAGTGAGAGAGTGTTCAACATTTCAAAGTTAATACAAAAAGATCGCATCAGACTTACAACACAGAATGTTGAAACACTTCTTTTTTTAAAATACAATTTAAGGGCTCTTTCTTATTCAACATATTTATGTGATGCCCCTTACACCACCTAATTCAAAATACTATGATGTCTGGGATACAGAATCGTCAGAATCAGAGGAAGAAACTTAAATTATTATAAAGTGTCTTATTTCTTATTTGTCATTGTAAATATATATGAATTATATTATATTTGTATATATTATTTTTGTGACTTTTTCTTATATTTTCTTAAACTTTCATAACAAATTTTAACTTGAACAAAGTTAAAAAAAAAAGCAACAAAAAAAAAAACCAACAAAAAACAACAACAACAAAAAAAATCCAGCCCAGGCTAGTAACCCCTGCAAATTTTGTTTGTTTTGCGTTTTTGAACAGGTGATATTGTAAAAATATCACCTGTTCAAAAACGCAAACTGAGACAATCATAAACCGGGTAATAGACTCCACGCTGTTGATCAACTGGTGTAATCATTAGATAGCATTTCATGTTTCAATCTTTCCACAGATGCTAGCAATCAGGTTTCGCAGAAAAAATTTCAGATTGTTGTTTAATACTTTCACTGGAATGCAGGTGGTATCCTAAATAAAATTCTTACGTTAGATAACACACCAAAAGAAACCTCTGAAACACTTCAAACATATGAATTGTTGTCTAAGTGTGTTACTTTTGCTAGAGACAATGGCAATGTAAATTTTGGAGGCATTAATTAAAAAGTAAGCAAAAATATGTTCTCGTATTTGAAGGAAGTTTTAAAAAAACCGTTGGTAGGTGTTAGATGTTTTGCCCACATTTTGCACATCTTCATACAACATGGAGCAGATTTAATGAAGATTGGAAATTTGAAACTGTTGTCTTTAAAATATTCAATTATTTTTTTTATGTACACAGTTAGAACAGAAGCATTAAAAGATTTATGCAAATATGAGGGCATTAGTTATCATCAATTCTATCACTCTAAAACTAGATGGTTAAGTTTACTTCCAACTATCAAAAGGTTATGTGGTGAAAATATTTTCTGTTTATCAACCTCCTGTTAGGATAAAAATATTTTTTGAAAATGAATTTTTAGAAGCTTATCTTTGGTTTTTGTATTCCTTGATTTTTCTCTTTCAAGTAAATATTGCAGCAATTGAAAGGGGAAAAACATTAGTTTTAGAAAATATTAACCTTCTTTACTCTACCGTGGAAGTTTTAAAAGAAAATGAAATGAAATTAAAATGAAAAACTTCTTATCTTTTTTTTTAAGAAAGTGACATAAAAGAAGATTATAAATGCTTTATGGCATAAGTTAAAATAGTGTATGAAGCATACATTCTTTATTTTAAAAAGTGGTTAAAACCTTTTGATAAATTTTAGTGCTTTGGTTGAATACATTTAAATAAAGTAAAAGACAGCACATTTGATGACCTTTACATTTTATACCTGAAAGGAAAAATATATAATTTCAGATGAAGTACAATTATTTTACTGTTCTCTTAAATCATTTGTGCAAGGCAAAAATAAGCAGTTTTTTGGATTACCCATGCATGATTATTGATTTTTTTTTTTTTAAATCTTGTTCAAATGAAAGTTGCTTCTCAGAGATATTTAAAGTTTGTGAGGTATTATTCTTTATCCCAGGACACAACGGAAATATTGAAGTAGTTTTCTTGTTGGTTAATGCTCAATGTACAAAGGAAAAAGACAGACTTTTAGTTGACTCTGTAAACGCCATCGCTCTCACCAAGTATAACTTAATGAATCTTTCTTTGAACAGCTTTATAAATATAAGATTACTAACGAAACTCTTCTGCTTAACTTTGGCTCCTCCAAGAAATATGATATTAGGCAATTATTATTAAATAATTTAATATATTATAACACTGTATACCTGAACGTTGCATTCTTTTTTGTAATTAAAAAATATTAATTGCAATTGTAATTCGGAGAAAATTACCTGAGTTTGCAACATTGGTTAAAATAGGTGCATATATATATATATATATATATTCTTACCTCTTACATATATATATGTAAGAGGTAAGAATGTTTGACAGCTGATAACTAGTTTGCACTGTTACTACCAGTGCCGAAATAATATGAAATTTTCTAAAAAAAAATTTGAACCATTATTGATTTAAAAACCCTTAGCACAAACTCATTATTATGTGATGCTGAAAATATTTCAAAAATTAACTGGTTCTCAATTGTTAATCTTCATAGCATTGCTTTACTAAACACAAATAAAGTGCAAACACTAAATTTGTTTTGTTTAAAATGCAAGTGCTTTAACAATGTTGTTTCTATGCTCTTACCATTTAAATGTAAGCACATTTTTTTCAAAACTTTGATATAAGATCAAACGAGAACTATTTTATTGGTTATTTTTATAGATGCCTTTTGGACTGCAGATCTGTTAATTGATGTTTTGCCAACTGTGTTGAACGCAGCTTTGGCAATCTTTGCTGTTGACTATAAAATCCTCAATTATCAGCTGTTTTAGTTAATATCTTACCAGTAATCCTTGCACATTTCAGTGGATGTGGATACTTATCAATAATATCTTCCTAGAATGCTTTATCTAACAGTTTTGCAAAAATCATTATTGGGTTATCAATTAAATTCCTTTACAAATTATTTCTTGGCTTTTAATCTTTGGAAGCATCTTATGCTCTAATTAAATTATTCTTTGATATCTTATACGTCTAAAATATAGTTTAAAAAATTATATAAAACACAGTTTAAATTTTAAAATATAATGTAGATAAGAGTTAAAAGTTGTGAATTATTTGAATAAATATATAAATATGAATAAATTAAATATAGATAGAATTTTTTACAAAGTTATAAAATGCCTGGAAATATTTCAGCCAGAGCTCAGCTTCTTGTAAAAACACCAGCTACAGATAGTTCTGCCTTTAACTCAGGAGCAGCTCCAAAGCACTGCTTCTAGACAAAAAGTAATTTAAACAAGTACAGGTTGCATCTATATTGCACTTATTTTTCAAAAGCTTATTACACTGCTCTTGATAATTTCTATTTATAACATTGTTTACTTTTTTACACTTAATTATTTATTAATTAAACTTTTTGCAAGAATTTTTGATTGTGAAGTTGTTTTTAATAATAATAATTTTTAATAATTAGTTAATTTTCAGCCGCAGTTTTTATTTTATTTTTTTGAAAAATGAGCATAAAATCTCTGAAACAAATATTTTAAAATTTAAATTTGTTATTTCTAGTAAAGAGCTATGAGTTAAAAAGAGAGATAATGAATCATGGAGTTGAATAAAATATGTTAATTGTTAGGGTTGCTGAATGTCCGGCTTTATGTTGGAGAATACAGTACCAAACCTATAAAAGCAGGGGCAGACAGGTACGTCTGTATACGTATCCAAAAATAAAATTGATTAAAAAAAAAAAAAGATAATATAATATTTTAGTTATGCGTATAAAGATAATTTTTTACTTAACCGTTGAGTAAATTAGATTTAAGTTTTATTATTGTTATAAAAACACTTATGAAAAAAAAATTTTGCTTCTTGTTTAGAGTAAATAAAGTTGCTTTTTGTTTAGAGCGGTTTTTCAAGTTTAAATAAAAACATAAACTTGAAAAACAGCTTAAATTAAAAAATTCTTTTTTAATTAGAGGTCAAAGTAATAATAAATAAATAATATTTAATTATAAAAGTCAATGGATGTACCCAATATTATTTTATCAAATGATGAAAAATGGCAATTAAATTCATGTCAAAATTAACAATTAATTCATGTCAAAATAAAACAATGGACATACCTAACATTATTTTTTTTTAGTTTAGTTTTCATTATTTAAATTTTGAGTAATTGATTTTATTTATGAAAAAACTCTGTTGGACTTACCCTAACTATTACACCCTGAAATATATAAGGTTTATTATGATATTTAAAATGTCTCCTAATGTTAGATTTTAGATATTTAAGTCATTTAATCATGCAATTAAAAACATCATGTAACAAAATGGGGAAGCAATATTAATCTCTTTGAACGGTATATTACAGAAAAATATAAATTCTTGTAAAGATACGAGTCTTGTTCTCTCTTGTAAATTATTTAGTTTTCTTAAAAAGTCTATTTCTGTGTTAAAGCTGGTGATAAAATTCTTCAAGATCAACTTAGATATTATTATAAAAAATAATTCTTACATTTCTAAGACACCATATCATCAAGTAAAAAAGTGTTTTGGAAAAGTTATTAATGACTAAATAATTTAAAATTGTTTCAATTTTTGCTGATGAAGCTTCTTACAGTTAAAGTAAAGAACAACTATTATTAATTACTAGCTGAATTGACCCGTAAAAATACGGGTCTTTGTAAGTCTATTCCACACAAACCTTTTGCCTTATTTTCTTAATCTAGCTGTCCGTATCGGTAAATACAGGTCTTTTCTTCTACTTCTATATTTATCAATTCCACGCCAATCATTTCTTTACTTGTTCTTTATTTACTTCAATATTTTTTAGTAAACTGTGGAAAAAAATTCATTAAAAAAATTTGCTTTAAGAGCAAAAAAAAACTTTAACATACGCACTTTTTCCGCCAAGTAACATCATTAGTAACACCGCTTGGCTAGCAAGAATCACAATCTTGCACTACACGTTGCCAAGTAACACCACTTTTCACATGGAAACAACTTAATATAAAATTATATAAACTTAAGCACATAAATATAAATAAAGATATATAAACGAATATATTATTAATTTTTTGCTATACTAATCTAAAATGAACAAAAACAATAAAGTGCTATTTATCAGTTTAAACCTATGAAACTATGTGTATAGCGTCTAATAAAATTTGTGAACAAAAGATATAACTAAACTGGTTTGAAACAGAGAAAAAGCCAGAAGTATCTTGTAATAACATACTATATTGTAAGTAATAAAACAGTATTTTTTGAAACAAATAAAAAATTTTGTTATTTTAAAAGTCATATTAATGGTAATATTAAAAAGCAAAATTAGTTACAAATTTTTAAATGACATGCCAACAATTGCAAACATGTTGCATCATATAGACCACATGTGGCTGACAACTGATTTTAAATACTATTTTATAATATATCTAAAGAGATTAATAGGTGTATAGTGCATATATTAGACATATTAAACAGATATCATAGAAAAAGAAAAACTTTAAATATATTTACCAAATCTTTCAAAAACTATATAACACTTAACAAATTAAAGTTAATACAAAAGAAAATTTAGTATTATTAAAATTAAAAATGAGGATAAAAAGATGTAAAAACGTAAATTAATAAAAAAACTTATAGACAAATTATTAAAAACTTTTATAACATAAGAGTTCTTTGTAAGTTTAGGATTTAAAAACAGAATTAAAAATCAAAAAAATAAAATAGTAAAAGTATATAAATTAAAATAATAAAAAATTGCGAAATTAAAAAAAACATTTTTTTAAAAAGTCAATTTTCTTTATAAATAAAAAAGAAGATAATTCTACCAGTAGTTTAAAAAAGCTACTGGTAGAAATTAAAAGAATTAAACCGCTTTCCAGCACCCCTCCTTTTACCAGTGGTGTCATATGGGGCTTGTCTCCTCCATCTAAAGGAGGGATCATCTCCCCCATATTGACTCCACCGGTAAAAAGCTCTTGGAGATATTGGACCTGGGTGCTGGGAGCGATAATGCAGAAAATCTTGATGCGATGCTAAAAAACAAAAACAAAAAAAGAAATAAATTTGAATACAATACTGCACAAAACAACCAATAAAAATATTATTTAAAACTATTTAGACTTCAAAAAAAAAAAAGTTATGACAAAAAAAATAAATAAATAAAGTAATGTAAAAATAAGGATATGCAATGTTTAAATTTCATATATACCTACACATAACACATAACACCCACACATAACAAATACACATAACACCCACAAAACTGCATAAGTATGGAAAACAGATTACCTGATGGTCCTGCAGATATTGTTGCTATTATAGAAATAAATAAAAAAGTATATGAACTAACACATATATTAAACAGTTATGTAATTGCATACAAACATGAAAAAAGTAATGTTTAGGTTTCAATACACATAACACTGCATAAGTACGGAAAAACTGCATAAGTATGGAAAACACATTACCTGGTGGTACTGCAGTTGATACTGTTGCTATTGCGGAAATAAATAAAAAAGTATATAAACAAACACATATATTAAACAGTTATGTAATTGCATACAAACACGAAAAAAGTAATGTTTAAGTTTCAATACACATAACACTCATAAAACTGCATAAGCATGCAAAACACATTACCTGATGGTACTGCAGATGATATTGATGCTATTGTGAAAGTAAAAAAAAAAAAAAAGTGTATAAAGTAAATATGTTAAACATTTATGTAATTGATAACAAACATGAAAAAAGTAATGTTTAATTTCAATACACATAAAACCCATAAAACTGCATAAGTATGCAAAACACATTACCTGATGGCACTGCAGATGATATTGATGCTATTGTGAAAGTAAAAAAAAAAAGTGTATAAAGTATCATATGTTAAACATTTATGAAATTGCATGAAAACATGAAAAAAAAAAAAAAATTTAAGTTTCAATACACATAAAACTCATAAAACTGCATAAGTATGCTAAACAGATTACCTGATATTATTGCTTGAGGTGTTAATGTATAGACAAAAAAACAAATAAATAAAGTGATGTGCAAAATAAGATATGCAATCTTTAAGTTTTACATTAAATTACATCATTACCTGATGGTACTGCAGATGATATTGATGCTACTGTGAAAGTAAAAAAAAAAAAGTATATAAAGTAACATATGTTAAACATTTATGTAATTGATAACAAACATGAAAAAAGTAATGTTTAATTTCAATACACATAACACTCATAAAACTGCATAAGTATGCAAAACACATTACCTGATGGTACTGCAGATGATATTGATGCTATTGTAAAGGTAAAAAAAAAAAAAAGTGTATAAAGTAACATATGTTAAACATTTATGTATTTGCATGAAAACAGTAATGCCTAAGTTTCAATACACATAAAACCCATAAAACTGCATAAGTATGCTAAACAGATTACCTGATATTATTGCTTGAGGTGCTAATGTAGAGAAAAAAATAAAAATAAAGTAATCTGTAAATTAACATATGCTATCTTTAAGTTTTAATACACATAACACTCATAAAACTGCATAAGTATGCAAAACACATTACCTGATGGTACTGCAGATGATATTGATGCTATTGTGAAGGTTAAAAAAAAAAAAAAAGTTTATAAAGTAACATATTTTAAACATTTATGTAACTGATAACAAATATGAAAAAAGTAATGTTTAAGTTTCAATACACATAAAACCCATAAAACTGCATAAGTATGCAAAACACATTACCTGATGGTACTGCAGATGATATTGATGCAATTGTGAATATATAAAAAAAAAAAAAAGTGTATAAAGTAACATATGTTATACATTTATGTAATTGTTTACAAACATGAAAAAAGTAATGTTTAAGTTCCAATACACATAACACTCATAAAACTGCATAAGTATGCAAAACACATTACCTGATGGTACTGCAGATGATATTGATGCTATTGTAAAGGTAAAAAAAAAAAAAAGTGTATAAAGTAACATATGTTAAACATTTATGTTATTGCATGAAAACAGTAATGCCTAAATTTCAATACACATAAAACCCATAAAACTGCATAAGTATGCTAAACAGATTACCTGATATTATTGCTTGAGGTGCTAATGTAGAGACAAAAAAATAAATAAATAAAGTAATCTGTAAATTAACATATGCTATCTTTAAGTTTTAACACACATAACACTCTTAAAACTGCATAAGAATGCAAAACACATTACCTGATGGTACTGCAGATGACGCTATAGTGGAGGTAAAAAATATATTTACATAAACTAACATATACTAATCAATTAAACAGTTTATTTTAGAGTGATAAAACCGCACACAAACATCAAAAAATGTGTGTTAAAATTAAACAAAAAGAAACATAAGTGTACTTTGCTTACCAATTGAATTTTCTAAATTTTCTAAATAGAATTAAAAAAAACTCATTAACATTAGGAAAGAAACTAACATGCAGAATATTAGTCAACTTTAGGAAATCTATAAATAAAGTTGGAACAAAACAAAAGGCAAAAATAACAATCACAAAACAAAACAAACCAAAAAAGAAAAAAGCGACAAAAAAAAAATAAAAAATAAACTAAAGAAACAATCCACAAGAACAATATAGTAACTTACTAAGTTGTTGAAAAATAAGCCCTATAAAAAAAAATGCTAAAATTTGTATCAAAAAAGCTAAAAGACCATAGAATACACCTTTTTTTTTGAAAGTAAAATGCTATATCTTTATCTATAATACACAAATGTAATATAATCAAATTCTGTTTACCCATTGAATGTTCTAATTTTTCTAAATAAAATGAAAAACTTATAAACATTAAAATAAACTAACTTGCCAAATATAGAATAACTTTATGTTAAATAAATATGTAATAAAAAAAATAAAGAGCATGACAATAACAAATTGCTTACTTAGATTCTCAACAGAATCTTCTAATTTTTCTAAATAAAATAAATTTAAAAGTTACAAAAGTCACTTGCTGACTGACAAACTGTCACAACTGACAAAAGTCAGTTGCTAAATAATTTTAAAAAAACTAAAATAGCATAAATGTATTTGCACACAAAAAAAACAAAAAACAACAACAAAATTCCTCACTTAGCTTGTCCATTACTTCCGCTAAACATTAAAAAAAAGTTATAATTAACAAATTGCTGAAATTGGTGAAATATATATATTTGTAACATATCCTTCTCATACAAAATTAGCTTACTTGGCAAGAGCTCTTCGGCTCTGATCTCTTGAACATCTAATATATATATAGACAAAATTAATTTTCAAAATATTTACTTTTTCAATTAAACATATAAGATTTGTCTTAAATTATAAAACTGTTGCACAGTTTTATAATTTAACACATTCAGTAAATGACAAAAAGTTTCATTTTACGTAAAAGTTTATTAGTTAGAAGACTTAAAAGTCAATTTTAGCTTAAACACGTTTTATAAAATTATAGCTTAAACACCTTAAATAAAGCTTATACTCGTTTTAAAGGTTCACTGCTTTACAAAAACATCAATCAAAATAGCGGAATAAACAAAAGCTGAGTTTTGGGTCCACCCTTTTAAAGTTCTAAAAATTAATTTATATATTTTTTAATTTTAGTTAAATTTTAGGGGGGTGTACTTGATTCACGGGGTTAGGGGAGGGCGGCATATCTTGGTTGATTTTAATTGAAAACGGCTAAATTAAATCATCGTTTTATTCACACCGTAAATCAAGTACAGCTCCGCCACTTTTAGAACATACGTAACTGCTACTATATATAGTATATATATATGGCTTACTTCGAAAAAATGCAGAAACTTCTTCGTCGCCTAAAGATATACAAAATTATCTTAATGTAATTTCTTAATAAAATAATAAGCTAAGTATCTCAGTATTATTGACGTATCATCTCTTTTTACCTCTTTAATTAATTAATGTTATACAAAATTAAAAGAATATCTTCTGTATCTTGGCTGCTCATTTCTAAAAAATAATTTTAATGTTTATTCTTGGGTCAAAAACATATTAACTTCAAACATATTAACATGGTAATTATAAAATAAGTTTAATTTTTTAAATGAAGATTACAATAATTAAACTTGTAGATACAACTTACTTGTCGTCCCTCGCTTTGCAATTGTTATAATCGATATGAAGACCACATGGCCGAGTTTTATTGGTTTTAGAGTACAGTTGGCGCACATATCATAATAGAAAAATCAGATGGTTTTGAATCTATTAATTAAGCTGTTTTTATTAACGGATTTGGTGGATTTAATTAGATAACCGCAAGGTAGTTTTACAGTGGTTTAAGAGTTGGCGTACGTTTCGTAATACAAAAATCATTTAATATTTGTTTATATCTCATTTCTATTAGCGGATTAGGCGAAATTTTGTGGGTTTTCTGTTTGTCACCTTCTGGAGTCTCTAAATTTTTTTTTTTAGGTTTCAGATTACAATTTTTTTTTTCATACCTTTTCGTACTTTTTAGGACTCTTGACCAGTTAGTTTTAATAAAAATTTCAGATTGCATGTAAAACCTTTTTTTTATATATATAAGAAAGAAATTTATCTCTTTAATGTGTGTTGAACTCGCAGTTTTAACTAATTACCTAAAACATAAGTATCTCTATCATGATATATGCGCAACAAATTTCCAACAGCGTTTTTATGTTTTTAAAAATTTTAAAAAACGTTTTAAAAAATTCTCTCCGTTTGGTTTCTTATAGTATATTATATCTTTATTTTTATGTAATGCGTATAACATCTATATGCATTTAAACTTGTTTTTCTTTGTTTTCTAGAAAACTGGATAGGATTTAAAAAAAAAAATTGTGTAAGCAAAAGGTTTTGAACCGAAGCGAAGCACTTCAATCGCTGTGGAATGCTATATCATCTTTTTACACTATTTAATAAACAGAAAACTTATTAAACTTTAAAAAACAACATTTAATGCTTTAAAATAAAGAGATATTGTCGCAATGAAATTATTAAGTAAAAATAAATCGGTAGAATTTGATGTCATCTACTTTATAATTATACTGATTGATAATTAAAGAACTTAAAGTTTACATATTTAGATATTTGAATAGACTTTCGTTCAAATTGATAAAATACAAATCATAACGGATTGTGGATCCGAAAAAAAAGGTTAATACACTACCATCTATAATTATTGGAAAGGTCATATTTTTTAATATCAAAGATATCAAAGTTTGGCGAAAAAGTGAAAACAATGTCTACCTGAATTATATGTTATCTTCCTATTTATTAGGTTTACCAATAAAACTTCCCTGATTAGTTTATAATTTATTCAAAGCCCTGATTAGCTTTTAATTTATTTGCCTATTAATCACTCTTAACAACAATAACCGCCATAAATATATTCTTAGCATTCTACTTAACGACTTATCTAATTAGTCTATTTTGTCACTAAGTATAAAAAAAAAAAAAATACCCATGTATTAACTGAATATCAATTTATTTAT